GTAAAATATTCTTTAGAGCATCCAAAAGCACCTCTCTTACAGAGTATTTTCCACGAGATAAAATAAAAAGAAAAATATCGCGACATGATGTTTCTATTAAAATTAATACTCGAACAAATGTCTTTTTATTATTTCTGCAATGCGCATATTTAACACGTGCGCCAGCGCACATTAAAAATAAAAAGCTATTATTTTCGCTTGTGTGATATAGCTTTAGAATAAAATTTATTTTATAATTCTTCTTCCAAAACTGTAAAAATTTAATCTTGGCGAATAATGTTTAATAATTATTGTCAAAAATCACCGCTTTATTTATTAAACCGGACATTATAGAGCACGAAATGATGTTTGCGGTGCAACGTTATATCGTAAAAGTTGTGCTTTCAGTCTCAAATATGAGATTATCTCGTTGCATTATCCTATTTTGCGTGCGAATGCTCTAAACAATCCAAAATAGCGTATTCCGCGCACGATCGCGCGATATACAGCGATATTGCGCTGCGGAATCGAGGAAAATCATTCGATCTATCGCCGATAATCCCCACGATCATGGGAGATATAAACCCGGTGATTCGGCAGAAACGCTGTTTAATTAATGGTCAATACACCGAGGATCGCGGCGGAATTACGCCGCTGGCGTTTGACGTTATAAAGTTGACATGGGAGATATAGAGGCGTGCGACGACGTCGCGCTTCGGCATCGGTATCGGCGCGATGGTGCGTGTGCACGTTGTAAAAAAAATTAATTGGATATGTCTGCGGGGCATGAAATGTAGACCAGCACAGTTGGTTGCAGATATAAATTTCCCCCTTTAATTTAAAAGACCCACATTTATTTTCGCAACAGTAATCATTCGTAATATTTTTCACGCGGTGACCAAAACTGAAAGAAACGACACTTAATCGCGATGAATGAACGTTAAAAATGCATTATTTAATTAATTTCATGATAATTTCATGATAATTTCATGATACAGAATTTTTGTCGCATTCTTCTGTTGGAAGCTAGATTTAGATACCCTTTGCTTCATTTTTAATAAAAATTATTCTGCACATTTCATATAAAAATTGCCAAAACTATTCAAGCTCACAGTTTTATGAACAGAAAGAATGTGCAGATATTAATATTATTGTACGCAAACACATTCGTGATTTTATTTAATAACAGCGTCAAAGGAAAATAACGTAACTTTATACCCACGTATAATATATTTAGGATACGTGCCGTCGTTTCCCCCAAAATACTATGTGAAATCCGCTTGCGTGTAAGATGTAATGCGCTTAATTTATAAAAATAGAGTAGACGGAAGGTCGCGAGGAAACTCCGCAACATTAATAGAGCATAATTTCACAGGGTATTAGAGACATTGCTTGCACCAGATGCCGTTCCTAATATCCGGGACGGTAGCATTGCGCGCAGAAAAATTAATAAAACGGAATTTTTAACGAAGAAAAATATCAGTAGACGAAAACTTTTAATTACTTCTAATGAGAAAAATCTCGACTGTACCCAGTTCTCGTCCTCTGCTTAGGTGTTGCGGTAAGTTTAATCGACGTGTTGCAGCAAGTACTTCTATATTTCGAGTTTTAGATTCACTCTAAATTTACGCAACAGTTTACGTAATTACGTGAAGGTTTCAATTAAGTTAATTTAACCAATTTATATCAATTCACATCAATCATCATAGCATTACAAATTCAATAAATTTTAATAAATAAAGATTGAGCGATCATGACTTAATTGTTTTCAATTATGTCGTATTCAATTGTCAAATTAATTACCAATTAACAAATGCAATAAACAATTCTACACCGTTTTTTTAAATTCAAATCGGAGCTGGAATACAATGTTCGAATCTGGATTATTATGAATTGTTCGCAATTGTGTTATAAATTATTGTCAAATTAATTAATTATAAATCAACAAATGCTGCAAACATTACAATAGTAAGCAACAAACGCGATAAATAATTGTTTACAAATTCAAAACCAAGGTAGAATACAAATATTAGAATATTTAACATAACGAAATGTAATACTACTAAATTACATTTCTAACTTTCTAGTATTCTTATAGGATTCATTCTGTATTACAAAAATTACAGATATCCACGAAAAGACGATAAACAAGTCTTTTCGATTCTGTAAAATGTTGTTATCCAGTTAAATGTCTTGAAAGCACCTAACTTTGGAATCTGTCAAATCTCCCAAATTCTCTGAGAGAACCGTAACAGATCGGTAACAAGTGGAATCGGCGATTTCTCCGAGAGAGAGAGAGCGATTACCGCACACGCGCGTTTGCTGGCAGATAGCGCATAGTCCTTCCTCGGAAATCCAGATGGTCCGTCCAGAACATAACTCAGGATTTCACATGCGCCGGTAACAGCGGCTGCCGTGGACCGTTGGCATAGATGCACGGGGACCCGGACGAGACGCGCACGTATACGCGTGCACGCAAATGTGCCACCCCGGCGCATACAAAGGAGCGGATGAAAGGGCGAGGGTGGAGGGGGAGAAGGAGGGAGAGAAGGAGGGAGCGAAAGGGAGATATGGTAACAGTAATGTATGCAATTGGACCGACCGGCGTGCACGACGGACGGTTGTTGGTCGGTTATGGGTGGTGACGCCAGGGTGTAACGGTGATCCAGCAGGGGAAACGGAGGGCAACGGGAGACAAGGGTCGTCGCATACAATCGTAGAATCCCGCGTGGCACCGCCGCGCCGGGTATTATATGGTGTTTAGTTTACCATGGTGTTCGCGGTACGCGCTATGGTTTAACTTCTCTCTTGTGTTCATGATTGCATCGAATTAACTTGGTCGCGCCGTGTCGAGTGCGTCGGGACGACATTAATTCACGCGTGTGACGCGATGAAGTTAGCAGGGCGAATGGATGAAAATTAAAATCGCATACAAATGTGCATTTTGTCCGGTGCATAAAGGTTTAAATTTGAATTCGATTTTCTTTCTACTTTGTCGCAGTAGTCTAAGCATATAATCGATCTGTCATTTAAGGTAAGGATTTGAAGTTGTCAGGAAGAGACTTTGTATTATTAAACAATGTAAAGAATAATAACAATTTTCATTTCAACATTGTTCTAATCTTACCGAATTCAAAATCAATATATGATTCAAATTTTACACTTTTTATTACCATTAATCTTCACGCGAAAAAATATACAAACTTTAAATACAACCTGAATATTAAAGTGATTTATTAGCTGACTGTGGAACGTACAGGATTTAAGACAAATCCCTAAAAAACGTGAAAAAATCTTCTGTAACCTCGACGGTTTGTTAGCAACAAATTAATAATCTCGTTATTAAATGCAACGCCATGTATTTTGTTTTAATATCTGAGATTAAACGTAATAACTTAAAACTGTTAATGAAAAAAAGTTTACCATTTTATAGAGAACTAAAATTTAATACAGCAGAGACATTAATCGCAATAAATTTGTTGATATGCTTTAATTATGTAGTAAGACTTCTTGCACATTTTATCCTAAATAATTATATTCAAATCCAGAAAATAGCAGAGACTCACTTTTTAGCATGTGCTAACAGTTAAAAAATAGAGTAACAGATAAAAAATGCTAGAAATAAGAGAATTTGCTAGTTTTGATCTTCACGCTGATAATATACGTTCGAAACATTTTATTTTAAATAAATTCTGCATATCGTCGGATTAAACAAACTTCGCACCACTTCGACTATTGCGCAGCCTGACCCTAATCTATTCGCGGCTTATCCGAAAGCATCCACTCGGAACGTGGGCGCATGGTCTCTGAGATCTCGACTCCAGGTCCTTATAATTACTAGTCTTTGGAAGTTTAAGTAATTTCCTACCGACATATAGTATCGCACCATCTGACGAACGATTTCTCGACGAACAAGAGAACAGAAGAGAGGAAACGAAACGTTTATCACAGTCATTCCATACGGAAATACGAATAACTTGCAAATAGTCTTCGCGTTATTGCGTTATTATGCGCGTTCTTACTTGAAATTTAAGTTCTTTATCGTATAAAGATCTAAACTTCGAATTATTCCAACGAAAATGCAAATATTTAAAAAACGAATAACTGCGTTGTTTCTCAATATTTTTCACATTAGTTTATCGGATGCTACTTTACAAAATATAAAATACGTTTTTCTACAAAAAATTCGTATAACATAATCTAGAATTCAGATACTTTCATGGATTTATCTTATTTGCGTAATGTTAAGCATACACAGGAATTATATTATTTTTGTAATACAATATTTCCACATATTTTAAAATTTACATTCTAAATGTGGTTAATTCAGTTTTTAACAAAGATAATAAATGGAAATAACATAATTTAATATTCAGATTCTTATTAATACACGTGATAATATTAATGTTTCGCGTTAATGTTAGCTAGATTTTTTAAGTATTATTATTTAATACTATCTAGAAACACATGTGGCTATTAATATTTCTCATCCAATGCATAAAATATATATTTTAATTAAATTAGCTTATTTCATAAAAAGAATCAAAATATATAAACGCTTTTAAAATGTTTAAAAATGACAATAGATACACAATGTGTTTAAGACACTTATTGAATAAAATATAAATTAATTTACTATTAATTCGCAAAGAGAGAATCATTATAAAAGTTTCTTCGTTAACGTTAATATCAGAATTCATAGTCTATAGTTAAGTTTATTACGAGAACATCAGACATGCAAAGTCAGAAATTACCTACTCGTAAGGCTGAGTCGGGAACAATTACATTGCGCTGCTGTAATCCTCATTTGCATGCATATGTTTGCGAGGAAAGCTGCATCGTCAGCATAGCAATTATCACACTATCAGATTTAAAGCCGTAATTTTAATTAAGTAATATTTTACAGCCAATCAACGTATGTTCTGTCACACTTTTTTTTCCTTTATTTAATGCCAACGCAAACGCCCGATTGGATGCTTTCAATTATATTAGTTAATCAAAAACGTAAAAGCAAGACTTACCTTCTGGTAGTTGAGAAAGAGCAACAGATACTTCTTATCGGCAGATAGTTGGTGATCAAAGCTCGATAGTAGTGCCTGGAAAATACAAAGTGCCAAATTATTAATAAACGAATATCACTACATTAGAATGATTCTACTTCAATCTTTTCGAATAAACAAAACTATTTTGCATATATATAATATATGGCATCTAAATCACTATCACTCTCAATCTATGGTCCAGCTGCCATACAAGTGAAAGATATCAATAATTAAGTGATCGATAAATAATACGTTCCTACAATTGCATGTTGCTTTAATCAGTGTTTCAACAAACATTTTGTACTCGTTATATACTTTTTTTAACAAATAAAATACACGATTGAAATAAACGTAGTGTTCGCGTTTTGCGTTTTCAAAACTGAGGCATATAAAACTTTCGGAAAAATACCAAAAGCATAATAGATATAAAATTACAAAAAATATTATTCATTACAAAGCGGCAATTGGTAATATTTAAAAAATTTAATATGTTTGTTTGTTGGTTTTGATATCTTTGAGAAAAACACAGAAATGCAATTATTCTGCGTAAATTAATATAGTAAAATTTTTAATATTCAAAGTATTCAAACAAGCGCAATTATTAACTTTTAAAAGTAAATGGCATAAATGTTGATTGTTATTTCTACAAAATAATATCATGTGGAACAAAAACAAAAAATAGCGCGTAACTAGTTCCAATAAAAAAAAAGCCACACAGAATTTCAAAAATTTCGTGCTCGCGTGTCAAAGTGCAATAATCGCGGCGGTGAACGCGAAGTCGTGCTTTTCCGACACGGCGCAAATCACAGATAGAGCTTATCGCTTATTACGTTTATAAAACGAGTCGTTAACGAGGACGAACACAGAATGTAGTGCAAATGCGGGACGACCACATCGAAAGAGGCTTTATGCCACCGCGACGACCCGGAACCGTTTGTCGAAATCACGACGAGTAAATTACGATCACGTGCGCGCGCGACACGGGCCGCTGGGGTTGTTGAATGAGCTACTACGACGATCCTCTAATGGGATGACCATCGTTAAGCGGAGTCGCGAGTTTGAAACGAGACGGTCGTTCCGAGTTAGTTGGTGGATGATCGGAGTAGCGATCGTTCCAGTTAACCAAGCTATCGCGATCATAATATGGTGACTGGCGCGCCAACAATTGCCATTATTACTTTAATACGTCGAGTTTATTCGCATGATAGCGACTAACGGATCACGTCCCTATACGCTTTGATTTCACTGTTGCGTCTGTCACGGTGTCATATCATGCAATTATATTTTCCTATACTTGCGCATATTTATACGCAAATTAATAAATATAAATTTCAAGTCTCCAAAATATTTATTGATTTTTCAATATTATAAATTTTTAGGAAAGATACTTTTTTAATATTTCTATGACTAATTAAACTACTGAGATTGCACAAATAATTAATATTCTTTAAAAGAAAAAAAATGCTAATAAAATAAAAGATGTATTTCATAATTTTTTTTTTCAAAAAAATTGCATTAATAAAGTTTTTGTAGCAAATTTTGTTGAAGTGTTCCAATAAAAGAAATACGTTAATAAAACAAATTTTATTACATTTTAACTAGTACGTCAAAAGACACGTTTTAAAAACTGGACCAATCAAGTTGCTAATTAAGATCAACAGATATAGTGTATACCCAAATTATATTACAAAAGTATCTTTATTTTTATTCTATATGCCATTGGTGTAATTTAAAAACATAAAAAATTCATAAGTACATTGCTTAAAAATAAATATATACATACTTTAAAATTGCCTTTATTGATACCCGATAGCCTTCCTGAGCCTCCTCTTCTCAATATGGGAGCACAATTTATTCGCGAAAATCCAATTAATTATTATTGAGCGACATTTATACGACACTCCAACGAACGAGGATAATACTCGAATATCATTGCACGAATACGTTCGATACTTTGCAGAAAACAACGGAAAGAAAGACGAGAGATCGGCATTGATCGGAAATTGATTAGTAATTAATTATAGAAATAGTTGAAATAATAGAAGTGGATGACGAGAACAACATGCCGACCATAAATATAAATACCATCGTGCGAATGATGACGAAGTAATAATACATGCCAAACTCGCTCCGATTCCGATTTGGAAGAAGCGAGAAATAGGAAACAACAATATGCGTGTAAGTACATAGCGCGCATAAGGGAGGGAGAGAGAAGCGAGAACGAGCGAGAGAGAGAGGGGATACGAAGTACGCAGGCTAAGCACGGAACGATGAAAACAACTCCCACCAAACGCCGCAAGGCAAATTCGAACTCTTAGCATTAGAGCGTTTGTCAAAATCGAGTTTGAATTCAATTTCAATTCGATTAAAACTCGATCTTAATAAATATTCAATAAATGCTCTAATATTATTTATAAGAACATTCACGTTACAATTCGAGAAATGCTTTGAATGCTGCAAAGCGCGATTGCATAGTAATTTTCGAATGAAAAGAGTATAGGAAACGTATCGAAGTGGTTTAAGATTTCAATTAGCATAGCCGCAATGATTAACGCGCAAAAATTAATTACTAATTACGATCTCCCTTCTTTCCTTTCGCCGTTTCCTGCAGAGTATCGAACGTGTCGGTGCGATGATATCCGAGTATTATCTTGATATCGCGATAATAATTGATTGGATTTTTACAAGTGAATCGTGTTCCTTTACTGAGAAAAGAAGGAAACTTAGAAAGAGCATCGGGTGTGGACGAAACAACTTTAAAGTAAGTAATCATCTATTAAAACTTTACCCTTTTTTTAAAAAGAAAGGTAAAAAAATAAAAATAAAAAATTATAAAATTTTATCTTTACATTTACTGCCATTTTTATACAGATTGTATCTATTTTAATATATGTTTCTCGTTCATTGTCAATAAACTTTCAAAAATCAAGAGAAGAAGAATGATTGGACACAATATTGGCATGAGAACAAAGTGATATCGACACTTTTACTATGTTACGTGATAAAGTTATGATTTTATTAGCAACTTTCCGAACTAATTTTAAAGTATTCCATTGGAACAGCTTGACACGCATGTTACTCTTCAATATAAAATTCTTATACGAAATGTAATATTTCGAATAATCGGCATTGAAAATGTATCAGAAAATATTAAAAATACCGAATAATATTACAGAAGTAGTTGGATAAAATTCAGAAAAGAGTTTTTCATGTCGAGATGAAGCAAAAATCCTAATAAAGTCCTCAATGGATATTACAATACATTGTCCAACTGCATTCAAACACTAAATGTCTATGTCGAGTATGAATATAAATACGATAAAAAATTTTCTTCTTGCTTTCATGCAGAGAACTCCTGCAATTTGTCCAAGTGCTTTAGTAACATTCTACGTGTTGTTAATAACAGAGAGCGTTGAGAGTTTCAAAGACAGTCTTTCAGTGTCCGACGGTATATTTCAACAATTGCATCTGACGAGTCTAGTTGCTTCCGCTGTTTCGGTGCGAGTGTGTATTCTGAGTGAATGCTGCATGTAAGCGAAGCTACATGGATCATAAACTTCCTAATAACTTTTGGACTACCAACGAGAACGACGCCCCAATAAGATCATACGTTTCAACTGTAAGAAATGACCAGGCTGCACGTTCAAAACACTCTCAAAGATTTCCAGTAACACAGCAAATGGAGGACTTCATTTAACTCGGGAGAAGTAAAAGAGAGAGCGGAAGTCTGATGCTAAAAATAAAGTTTTTAAGCGTCGCGTCGGTTTCCCGTCGCAATTTCTCTCACCACTTCCTCGGACTGTTTAATTGAAAGTATCAGCTTACTTCGCCTCATAATTACGACTGCACCTGATGAGATAGATGAGATTTTAATTGGAAAAAAGAGATCGCTTATTAAAGAAGCCGTTGTTAAATTTTAATAGTACGAAATGTCTGGTATCGAATAAATCTGTTTATGTCAGAAGAAGAAATGTTCAATAACAATGTTCGAAAACCTTTATTACTGTACTATAGAAATATCAAAAGTAATGCAAAATAATATATTATTATTCAGTAATCTTCTTTAAAGTATAATACATACATATTGAATATTTTTCAAAAACTGTAAACCATTACAAGAACATTTGCTAATAAACATTTTTTAATAAAAAACATTTTTATTAAGAATATGTAAAAAATATGTAAGATAAATAATTTGATTTAACGATCCGTAAATTCCGTAAATAAATCATTTGAGCTCTCAACCAAAGACATCTCGCAATGTTAAATTTCGAGGGGATAGGTATCGCATTACAAATGTCGTAATGAATCATTTTACAGCAGCATTCGGTCGGATACCTATGTATGCACGAACGAGGATCGTCGACGATAGATTGCACGCGTCAGAATGTGAAAGATAACGAGCAATTACCGTTCCGGCGATCTCTTCGGCGGCGGTGTTGCGGGAATAACGATGGATGCGCATCGTTGTGTAGCGTGTGCGTTACATTGCTTCCCGCATCGAGAAATAATTTCGGCCTCTCTCTTTCCGATTCTGCTCGCTACCGCTTTGGCATTCGATCCGCACGCGTGGCTTCCGCTTTTATATCTGTGTACGCTCGCGTATACGGGAAGCCGGGGCGGTTTAATTGATCGCGCAGATGAATTAAAACGGGAAAGAAAATGGGGAGGGAGGCAGAGTAGGGGACATGAATGAGAAATATAGTGCTTTCGTTGCACGGTATACTTCGGTCGTTATCTGCGGATTTCGGAAGTGAAACGCATCCATGCGACGCCAGGTTCGAGCAATTAATTCCTAACAACTATTCGGGGTTTCTGTTTAATTGCACACGTGTTAATGCGGTAATAATTGCGGGTACTTTTAAAGCGCATATATACGCGGATAAATCTTCGTATAAACTTTCCGTCCTTTAACCCAACATTTTCTAATTTTACCGGCTTTAATATTGTTACATTAATATTATTAGTAGAAATGTAATCGTGTGAGAATTGATAATTCAAAACTTCATATCACACATGGAACATGATTGCTACGAGCGTGTTTCTAAATTTCATACAAACTTTGATATCTTCTTGAAAACTTTGATATACTTATATGTAAAACGTATAGAAGTTTGGAAAGACTTACGGCATTGCTGGAGTCTAGCAGAATCCTGGATGCGGCCGAGCTGGCATTGTAGATCAACAAATTGCCTCTCTCATCCCGGTAGAGAATCTCGTCTCCTACAACAAGAAGATGCGAATGCGGAAATTAAATTCTGAGTCAATATATTTGTTTAATATCCTTATCTTACGTTTCACTGCGCAACTACATCGTAATATTTACGTTCACACGCTTAAAATCCTTTTTTTTCGTGTAAAATCTCATTTTTGTCGTACACACGTGAATTCTACAACCGTGCATAGATTCAGTCTCGCAAGATAATCATTCAATGCGGAAATTTATAAAAGAATTTATATTAAGAAACATTGAGATTCGTGAAACACATATAAAAATGTATACGCGACGTTATAAAGTTTATCACTCGCTTCTGCGTTTGTTTCGATACATTAAAAACATGATTAATTATCATTAAACCATGTTATAAAAACATGATTAAATTGCGCTATAAAATGTATTTATTTGTCGAGAAAAATTTCGAAAGATAAAACATCGTAATTATAAAACCGCCATTTTCATAAGATAGGTTTATAACAAATTAATTCATTGTGAAAATAACACAAGAAGAAAGAAAATTAATAATAATAAAAACACTTTAAAAATTTTTCTCAATTCTTTTTCCTTGTATAATTAAGAACACCGTTTTCTTTTAAACATTTTTCTAAAAATATTCTTTTCCCTTTTTAATGCAATTTCTGAAAAACACTGCGCCGTTCTGTCCTTTCTCTATTAGAGACTGTAAAAAAAATGTAACTTCCTTGGTAATGATGATTGATTAATTGCTTCCGCATGGTCGGGCCGCTTTTGTGCGCCGTTTCTGCGAGGAAAAGCGAGCGTGCAGTTTTCTTCGCGATGTAAGTTGAAGGAAGATACGAGTAAATTTCAAGAGAAGCCGTCCCTCTCGAAAATCGGTTTTCCCGAATCGACAGTTCGCTGTTTCATCAATCTTAACGGTATCCGGTAAAAATCCTTAGAATAAAAAGCGTTGAGTTGCGATAGACCGTGAGTAAGAAATATTTTTATCGTTGTCGAAAAGAATAGAGAGCGGAAGGGGAAAGAGACGAAAAGTACGCGAACTCCCGCAATGCGAACGTGTCAGAAATATTCGTTCGACATATATTTTTTTTTCTTTATCAGCAGCATAAAACGTGAAAAATGAAGGTAAATGCGACACGGTGAAAGCGAGAGAAGTGAGAAATAATTAAAAAATATCCTGTAATTGTCAAGTGCTCGTAATCAATAATGCATCAAGTCAGAGACGAAACCGGCGACGATTAATTATTCAGTAGTACTTAAGAAGTATGTCTGTTTGAATTAGGCAGACTGTGTTCTCTCAGAGAAAATTGCGAGCAAACTGAAGAACGATAAAGTACACAAATTTTATATGTATTTATACATCCAACAAAGTTTCTTTAAAGCCGAAAGAAAAAAACAAGCGAGGAAATGGTAAAAAAAAGTTTCGTTAAAAATAAATTCAAATGTGACAAGCAACAAGTAATAAATAATACAGCATTGTTTATAATTCCGTTTTGTTGCAAAAATTACGTAAATATTTAAAATTTTTACATTGTTTCACTCGCGCATAATATAATGATAAAGAGCTTATATACGCTTCACGCTCTTCCTTTCCTACAATTTTCACAATTATTCCACTTTTGTCTTTAAATGCGTGTGAAAAATACAATAATGTTACAAAAAGAACGCTTCTACCTTTCACAAAATACTAACGCATCCCTTTAATGCAAGGGGTCTGTGTGTTTGCGGTATAAACCTTGTTCCGCACGGTCGCTGGTTATTCGTTCGACCGACAAACAAGGGATGGCGTGTATTGCAGAACGAATTGCGCCTTCCAACGAGACACAGTGAGCTATTTCAACGTACGGCCCGTTAAATCGGAGAAGGTTCGCTTTTTCGACGGTAGAAATTTTCCGGCAATGTTGCGAGCTTTGATCCTTCGAAAAGGCTACTCGTTCGCGCTTCACAAACGTTTACTTTGCTCCGTTTTCAAGACAGTTCGCGCTTCTGTACGACGGATAAGCGGAGCAAACGAAAAGATTGTTCATCCATTTATTTTCTCACTTTTTATAAAAAATGGACATAAATATAAAACATAATAATAAAATATTGTTCTAACTGATAATAAAATTATTGAAAACATATTTTTATCATAAAAAATAATTAAAACATAGAGTAGTTAAATTGTATATAACAAACGTAAAAATTTATATTAAAATCACTGCTTAATGAAATATTCATCTTGTACTCAATAAATAATTTCTTTTTTTTATTAATGCTGATAGAACTTGAAAAATTACGCTTACCAGAGTTTGAAAGCGACTGTAATTATGTGGAAACGAAAGTTCAGAAACGGCAGAAAGCGCTTGATTCAATTGTTGGTGCGCACAAAGATGTGGCCACCTTGGGGAACTTTAAATGAAACTTTTCCTTATCCTCATATATCATTTATTCATTTTATATATAATGTCTCATTTAATCCAATTTCACGCAAAAATGGTGAAGGACTGATTTAAAAGGCCGGTTGAGAGCACATGTTCGACAATATGGCGCCATGAGAGTTAAAATACGATATTATGTATCAGAGGGAGATTAATTAACAAAGTTTCCCAACGCGGCGTGGATGCGTTTGAAGTTCGTTGCTTCTTTCGCGTCAGTAGAAGTTCCTATTACTTTTGTAATTATTTCATAATGTGACATAGATTTTTTAATATTAATTCTCAAATTGATTAATGCAAATTTCTTTAAGCCAATGTTGCTATTACGTCGATAAATAAACGCATAATAATTTACAAATAGAGATAACTGAATCTTTTTCTCAAAGCTTTAGAGAATTACTACACAAAGAAAATTTTATATCAAAAATTATTATGTACCACGAAGGAATTATAAAAGTTTTCACTGTGTATTTTTCACATAATGACTATAGTATTTAAACTTCTAATTTCTCTTATAGTTCGCGGCTACTGCTGTATGATAGTATTTTTTGATATTCCGCAGAGATATTTTAACAGAATCGTCTTACACATAAGCTTGTTTTATTTGCAAATAGTTAACGTTCAAAAAACGAAGTCATTAAAAGACATAGAAAGATAATAGAAAGACAGAATTAAAGGCAAAAGGAATATTTACGTAGTAAAAACAATTTCCTCTACAATGGTGGTGCAGTTACAATAACAAATAATAAATTGATTTGTTAAAGAAAATAAATCATAACTTCTTCAAAGGATAAAAATGTATTTCAATATAATAAACAATAAAACAATAAAACAATAAAACAATAAAATACTTAAATTATTATATCTTATCATAGCATGTCATTTCTTCAACTACTTCAAAATAAACAAAATAAATAATAAATGTACATCATTTTATATCATGCCATTTTAAACTAAGCTATACAATTCTAATTAATTGAATTCAACAGCTTTTAGTTTAGCAATATTCTAAACATTTTCTGAAGTACTGAGAAGATATTTTAAATTTTTAAAATTGTTATTTATATTACATACAATATTCCGTTCCTAATTGAAGAAATGCGAAACTCCAATATTTATAGATATTTATGTAAAAAATCCACACATATTTCTCATCGGCAATATTTACTTTAACTTTGCTACCAATGATTCTCTTCTGATAATTTTAATATGTCGAAAAAATTATTAATAAATTTTAAGCATTATTAAATTTAGTTAAATAATACATAACGCCCTATTTTAAATTTCTTGCGCACAGCAATCGCTTAAATAAAATTGCTTTGTTGATCAAGCAAAGGAATTAATGATAACAAATTGACAAGCATTGATCATGAAAATCTGCTGGAACATTATAAAGCCGTATCAAAATTATAAACGAATGTATTGCCTCATTGTATCAACGGCACATAGTGCATTTTCATAAATAATTTCATGTGAGTAAATTCCGTTGAAAATTTTTGCGATAATTGCAGCGTATCGATATTTTCCGGCTTAATAAACGGAATAATAGTAACTTTATATGGTGCTTTGTGTACATTTGCGAATGAGATATTTTTAATCAAATTTTACACTGTAATTCTTTTGAATTTGTAGATTAATAAACTGCATTAAATTCATTACGCAGTAATCACAAAATTTTTAAATAATTTAATTACGTTTTATAGGCTTAGAATTTATGATTTGTAAAATTCAGCCCAAAGTGTATTATAATAATTTTTTAATAAAGGTTTAAATAAATTCTTCCGTGAAACACAAAAAGAAGAAAAGTAAAGATATTTTCCGCTAAACTATGCAACTATGATAGATTGTTTTCCAGATTGTGCGTTATGTTACTTGTCTTCCAGATAAGACGATGGCGTGGAAAGTGATTTACATTTAGGTGAACATAACACCGGAGGGTTCGACCGATTTCTCATGGCGTTAACGAGACACCATCGTATCTCACGTGGGACACAACAAGATATTTGCTGTTATAGCGCGACATCGTCCGGATGGCTGGTACAGACCTGGTGTCTTCTGGGATTTCATAGCGACAGCAATGGACGAGGGGGACATGACATTTACGATTTACCGCTACCGACCGCATATATCTCGCAAGAAACAGGTTGAAACGAAAAATGCAAACAAAGCGTGAACTTTATAGGCCGGATTGGCCGCGGTCCCAGGAAATATCAAGTAGAAATATCGCGTGGAGTGGTTTAAGCTCGAGCGCTTTTTTAATAGACCCCGCGACATTTATTTCAATCAGCAGTCCGGGCTAGAATTCGGGCAAGTTCTTGACTAAATTTATATGCGTCATAAATAGTTAATAAAAATTAAATCTAATTTATTTAATACGAGTCAAATATGAGCGACCTTCCGCATTCCAAAACACTTTTGAAATGCATTATTAACAAAGTAAATTACAGATAATAATTAATAATAAATAAAAATTTATTTAAAAGCCAATATATTAATTGAATTACTTAAATCAAACAAGAATTATTTATTTATGCATTTAATAATGTCTCATGCATTTTTTAATCATATTATTATAATATTATAAAGTGTTCAAGATAGCTTTCATACTG